CGTATAACAGCAGTAATGAACGCGTATAACAGCATAATGAACGCGTGTAACAGCATAATGAACGCGTAATAACAGCAGTAATGAACGCGTGTAACAGCATAAGAACGCGTATAACAGCAGTAATGAACGCGTATAACAGCAGTAAAAGAACGCCCTATAACAGCAGTAATGAACGCATGTAACAGCAGTAATGAACGCGTATAACAGCAGTAATGAACGCGTGTAACAGCAGTAATGAACGCGTATAACAGCAGTAATGAACGCGTGTAACAGCAGTAATGAACGCGTATAACAGCAGTAATGAACGCGTATAACAGAATTAATGAACGCGTGTAACAGCAGTAATGAACGCGTATAACAGCATTATTGAATGCGTGTAACAGCAGTAATAAACGCGTGTAACAGCAGTAATGAACGCGTGTAACAGCAGTAATTAACGCGTGTAACAGCAGTAATGAACGCGTGTAACAGCAGTAATGAACGCGTGTAACAGCAGTAATGAACGCGTGCAAAAAGCAGTAATGAACGCGTATAAAAAGCAGTAATGAACGCGTGTAACAGCAGTAATGAACGCGTGTAACAGCAGTAATGAACGCGTATAACAGCAGTAATGAACGCGTGTAACAGCAGTAATGAACGCTATAACACAGTAATGAACGCGTGTAACAGCAGTAATGAACGCGTGTAAACAGCAGTAATGAACGCGTGTAACAGCAGTAAATGAACGCGTGTAACAGCAGTAAATGAACGCGTGCCAACAGCAGTAATGACGCGTAATAACAGACAGTAATGAACGCGTTGTAACAGCAGTAATGAACGCGTATAACAGCATTAATGAATGCGTGTAACAGCATAATAAACGCGTGTTTAACAGCAAATAATGAACGCGTGTAACAGCAGTAATGACGCGTGCCAACAGCAGTAATGAACGCGTATAACAGCATTTAAAAGAATGCGTGTAACAGCAGTAATGAACGCGTTTTAACCAGATAATGAACGCGTGTAACAGCATAATGAACGCGTATAACAGCATTAATGAACGCGGTGTAACAGCAGTAATGAACCGTTGTAACAGCAGTAATGAACGCGTTTTAACAGCAGTAATGAACGCGTTATAACAGCATAAAAGAACGCGTAAAACAGCAGTAATGAACGCGTGTAACAAGCATTAATGAAAAGCGTTATAACAGCATTAATGAAACCCTGTAACGCAGTAATGAACGCGTATAAAAGCAGTAATGAACGCGTATAACAGCAGTAATGAACGCGAATAACAGCAGTAATGAACGCGGTTTTAACAGCAGTAATGAACGCGTATAACAGCAATAATGAACGTGTGTAACAGCAGTAATGAACGCGTATAACACAGTAATGAACGCGTTATAACACAGTAATGAACGCGTATAACAGCATAATGAACGCGTGTAACAGCAGTAATGAACGCGTATAACAGCAAATAATGAACGCGTTTTAACAGCAGTAATGAACGCGTATACAGCAGTAATGAACGCGTATAACAGCAGTAAATGAACGCATGTAAAAAGCAGTAATGAACGCGTATAACAGCAGTAATGAACGCGTTTTAACAGCAGTAAGAACGCGTATAACAGCAGTAAATGAACCCCGTGTAAACAGCAGTAATTTAACCGTATAACAGGTAATGAACGCGTATAACCCGCATTAATGAAAGCGTGTAACAGCATAATGAACGCGTATAACACATTATTGAATGCTGGGAACAGCAGTAATGAACGCGTGTAACAGCAGTAATGAACGCATATAACAGCAGTAATGAACGCGTGTAACAGCAGTAAAAGAACGCGTGTAACAAACAGTAATGAACGCGTGAAAAAGCAGTAATGAACGCGTGCAACAGCAGTAATGAACGCGTATAACAGCAGTAATGAACGCGTGTAACAGCAGTAATGAACGCGTGTAACAGCAGTAATGAACGCGTATAACAGCAGTAATGAACGCGTGTAACAGCAGTAATGAACGCGTATAACAGCAGTAATTTAACGCGTGTAACAGCAGTAATGAACGCGTTTTAACAGCAGTAAAAAAGAACGCGTGTAACAGCAGTAATGAACGCGTGTAACAGCAGTAATGAACGCGTGCAACAGCCAAATAATGAACGCGTATAACAGCAAATAATGAACGCGTGTAACAGCAGTATATGAACGCGTATAACAGCAATTAAATGAAATGCGTGTAACAGCAGTAATAAACGCGTGTAACAGCAGTAATGAACGCGTGTAACAGCATAATGAACGCGTGCAACACAGTAAATGAACGCGTAATAACAGCAATTAATGAATGCGGGGTAACAGCAGTAAGAACGCGTGTTAACAGCAGTAATGAACGCGTGTAACAGCAGTAATGAACGCGTATAACAGCATTAATGAACGCATGTAACAGCAGTAATGAACGCGTGTATCAGCAGTAATGAACGCGTATAACAGCAGTAACGAACGCGTGTAACAGCAGTAATGAACGCGTATAACAGCAGTAATGAACGCGTGTAACAGCAGTAATGAACGCGTATAACAGCAGTAATGAACGCGTGTAACAGCAGTAATGAACGCGTATAACCCGCAGTAATGACGCGTGTAAAAAGCAGTAATGAACGCGTATAACAGCAGTAATGAACGCGTGTAACAGCAGTAATGAACGCGTATAACAGCAGTAATGAACCCGTGTAACAGCAGTAATGAACGCGTATAACAGCAGTAATGAACGCGTATAACAGCAGTAATGAACGCGAATAACAGCAGTAATGAACGCGTGTAACAGCAGTAATGAACGCGTATAACAGCAATAATGAACGCGTGTAACAGCAGTAATGAACGCGTATAACAGCAGTAATGAACGCGTATAACAGCAGTAATGAACGCGTATAACAGCAGTAATGAACGCGTGTAACAGCAGTAATGAACGCGTATAACAGCAGTAATGAACGCGTGTAACAGCAGTAATGAACGCGTATAAAAAAGCAGTAATGAACCGTATAACACAGTAATGAACGCGTATAACAGCGTAATAAACGCAAAGTAACAGCAAGTAATGAACGCGTATAACAGCAGTAATGAACGCGTGTAACAGCAGTAATGAACGCGTATAACAGCAGTAATGAACGCGTGTAACAGCAGTAATGAACGCGTATAACAGCAGTAATGAACGCGTATAACAGCATTAATGAACGCGTGTAACAGCAGTAATGAACGCGTATAACAGCATTATTGAATGCGTGTAACAGCAGTAATGAACGCGTGTAACAGCAGTAATGAACGCATATAAAAGCAGTAATGAACGCGTTTTAACCCGCATAATGACGCGTGTAACAAACAGTAATGAACGCGTGTAACAGCAGTAATGAACGCGTGTAACAGCAGTAATGAACGCGTGTAACAGCAGTAATGAACGCGTGCAACAGCAGTAATGAACGCGTATAACAGCAGTAATGAACGCGTGTAACAGCAGTAATGAACGCGTGTAACAGCAGTAATGAACGCGTATAACAGCAGTAATGAACGCGTGTAACAGCAGGTAATGAACGCGTTAAAAAAGCAGTAATGAACGCGTGCAACGCAGTAATGAACGCGTAAAAACAGCAGTAATGAAAAGCGTGTAACAGCAGTAATGAACGCGTGTAACAGCGTAATGAAACGCGTATAACAGCAATAATGAACGCGTGTAACAGCAGTAAAAGAACGCGTGCCCAAAAGCAGTAATGAACGCGTATAACAGCAGTAATGAACGCGTATAACAGCAGTAATGAATGGTGTAACAGCAGTAATGAACCGTATAACAGCAGTAATGAACGCGTATAACAGCATAATGAACGCGTGTAACAGCAGTAAAAGAACGCGTGTAACAGCAGTAATGAACGCGTATAACAGCAAATAATGAACGCGTGTAACAGCAAGTAAAAGAACGCGTGTAACAGCAGTAATGAACGCGTATAACACCCGTAATGAACGCGTGTAACAACAGTAATGAACGCGTGTAACAGCAAATGAACGCGTTTAAAAAAGCAGTAATGAACGCGTGTAACAGCAGTAATGAACGCGTGTAACAGCAGTAATGAATGCGTATAACAGCATTAATGAACGCGTGTAACAGCAGTAATGAACGCGTATAACAGCAGTAATGAACGCGTGTAACAGCAGTAATGAACGCGTGTAACAGCAGTAATGAACGCGTGTAACAGCAGTAATGAACGCGTATAACAGCAGTAAAGAAAATGCAATCACAATAAATCACTTGAACACTCGTGTATTACTGTAATCATCAAATACAATGCACTGCCTCTGCAGCTCATAACAAATACGTCGTTTACTCTCTTATCAGGACAAATGCGTCGTTTACTCTCTTATCAGGACAAATGCGTCGTTTACTCTCTTATCAGGAGCAAATGCGTCGTTTACTCTCTTATCAGGAGCAAATACGTCGTTTACTCTCTTATCAGGAGCAAATGTAGTTATACACTATTGATTTTTAGCAGTAATATTGATTCTATTTTCCGAGTTATTTATTCGTTTTCAGTGTGACACTTTATCTTAGTTGTGTTGACTTTATTTATTTTTATTATTGCATATATGTTAAAGTGGGAAGTATTATCACTTCAATTTGTTATAGTTTGTTACTAGGCTAATATGTTGGGGGGAGGGAGTGACTCGCGCTGGGCGAGTGAAAAAAAAATCGAAAAATTATGGAAATTGAGTTAATCGCTTTGAAAAATAGCTTAACACTTTGGCAACACTCTGGTATAAGTCTCATTATTCTTATTATTATAATCATGGGGAGCACTAAACCCATAGGATTATACAGCGCATGTGGCGGGGAATGGAAGTCATTCAGGGAACTGGAGCACAGATCCAATTCCCTAGATCAAAAGCCCCTCACCAGCATGCAGGAACCTCCCTTGAGGGGCTCATTGTTCTAAATGATTCGCGCTGTAGCTCTGCCTTGTGCAGACTCGGTAGCGCTCTTGGCCTTAGTGCCTCACCATCCCTGGGTCTGGGAGAGGCTTGCAGTTGAGTGGTATTTACTGGACCTTTCATTTTCGTCTTCGTCATCAGGTTTGGTGTGTCGCTGATTGCCTTTTCAAGGGCAGGAAGCCTCCAAGACATTCCAGTGCATCGTTTCAACGTAAATAGTGAAAGTGTTGGGCAGATTGTGAAGGCTGATGAGTGATGATGGCCGCGACCCACTGTGCGTGAGTGCTAGCCACGTATATACAAACTTCCAAAGGCCTTCATAAACACATCTACCTCTAGTACAGGCGCCATGCGTCCATTTAACTTAAAAATGAATACGTATCGGCATATGGTGTGGGAAGCAATGGGGTGTTGAGAGTAAGGAGGTCGGGACCAGTCAGTGCCTCCTCCCCTCACGCCCGGGGGGGGGGGAGGGTGTGTAGGTGAAGATGAGTGAACACACTGGTTTTAAGTAGTCATATTACTCACACCTTTCATGGTATGCATGGGAAATAAATGTCGTGTTTATGGTAATCAGGACAGTGTGAATCTTAACCTAACATTGTCAAACCTGTGTAAAAAAAAAAAAAAAACAGCGCAATCCGTGTATTGGGAAGTGCCCCTCACCCCACTCCCCGGACATGCCCGTGTGTAGTGTACAGTGACCCTACCCCCACCTACCATAACCCCCTTACCCTGAGGAGAGCCAGGAGTTTTACCTTTCAACTCCCCCGCCTGACCCACCCAACTCCCAGCGACACCCCAACTGTAGATTGTACTTTTCCCCTCCCAGCCTCAAGCCCCAGCAGGCAACCCCCCTTCCCCTCCAATGCCCACGATGTCAGCGATTTCGTAAGATGAGCTGGGTTACCAGGAACTACCACTACAGAGCTAGTCCCGTGGAATTCGATTGCGAGGCAACTGTCAGGTGTACCACAAAGAGTGTGCACTCAATCCCTCAAATTTCAGCATCTGTGCACACAGTGCATGCCTAGGCTCCCGGAGAGCCCCAAGTGGGAACAACCAACCGCCCCTCCTTGCAGACAGAGCTGACAGTTACAGCTACTTCACCTCTACAGAGGACCTGGGATCTGCAATTAAATTACCGTCTACCAGGACGCTGACATATCCCCAAAGCAGTTCTTCAGAGCTGCTAGCAAATTCGCTGACCTCTTGTGGAGGGTCAGTGATGCCCCTGCAAGCAGCATCTTTTACTCAATATTTTATATTTGTTTTAGGTGTCATTTTTATATAATTTATCTGCCATATTTTTATTAGTAATAATGGTGATAAGGCAACAAAAGGACCCCAGTGGAAATAAGTCACTAGCTTTTTGGGGTTATTCCAGGTTCTCTACACATACGCTGCTATGTATGATAATCTATGTAACTGTATACCTGAATAAACTTACTATTCCCTCAGCACTCCTGTTGCTGACCGAAGTGTGCTGGACCTCCGTCTTCATCCTCACCAACAGGGTTGATACGTCGCTGGCTACCTTCCAAAGGGTAGGGAGTCTCCCTCTGTACTCCTGTTGTTGACTGAAGCCTCCACACCTCAGCCTGAGTGTGTCGTTTGCACGCCATACAGATAGGGTTGCCTCTCGTCGCCGCTCAGGGTATACACAGTGCTCCATCGGCGACAGCTCACCTCTTCATTTCAAGTGTCTAGATGCCTCCTGCGACACGCCTCTACAGAAAACTTTAAGGTAATAGCCAGGCAAGTGTGTGTCTCATGCACACGTACTTGCCCAGCTGAGTTTCTTTTGTACTGAGACCATTACGTTCTTTGACGCCGTCACCGCTGTTTTGTTATTTAACATAACTTGTGCAAGATAGGTATAAAATACCGACAATATGAAAGTTAAGACACGTGTGTAACATCTGGATATCTTTATTGTAGACGTTTTGCCATCCAGTGGCTTTATCAATACAGATTCTAGGACATGCTTAGAAGACAGTAGAACTATATACAAAAGATGAGGTAATGAGTCCCTCAGTCCAAGGCTGAGGGACTGATTACCTCATCTTTTGTATATAATTCTTCTGTCTTCTAATTATGTCCTAGAATCTCTATTGATAAAGCCACTGGATGGCGAAGCGTCTACAATAAAGATATCCAGATACTGCACATGTGTCTTAACTTTAACTTAATTTGCTGTTACCCTGTATGTTCCCACGATGTCTGCTTCTCGACCAAATGCTAACTGTACTCTTTTCTTCACTTACTCTAAACCTGACGAAGCTTCCAAAGATGCTGATAGCACTTTATGTAAGGTCACCCACGTCCCTCTCATTAACCTCATCACTACTGAGAACTAACTTTCCGAGGCTAGCTTTGTTATCAGCTGGACTCCTGAGCATAGAGCCAGGAGCACAGCGGTCGCAAAGCAAGTTGACAATTCCATCTCGGCCGCCTATGACAGTGACTGCAACGACATTAAACTTGAACTTGCTAACAGAAACAACGTAACCATTGAAGAAATATACAGAGCTTCCCTCTCTCACGTCCTCAAAATACGCTGTTTTACACCAGAAGCCACACACCTCCTCCAGAATGGCATTCGTGCCAAGATGTACATAATCCCTGTCACCTCCCTCTTTATGCCTAACTACATACCCACCATACAAAATCCTCCTGGTTGTCCACTACTGGACAACCAGCTCCAACCCTCTTAAATGTCCAAACTGCCTACAACCACACTCAGTTACCTTCTTTCAATGCCAAAAATGCAAGGGATACACTCTCTACGAAATGACAAACCTATTAACTCTCCTAACCCTCTCTCTTCCCACTCCCAGCCTTCTCTCACTTTTGCTAGCTTCTCTCACCTCTACCCTTAATTACCTCCCCTCCTTCCACCTCTCCCTCCACTCCCCCCCACATGCAAACACAATCAAAGGACTCACTACTACCCTGTCTTCTATATCAGTACCCAACCAAACGAACAACCTGATCTCCTTTATTGTACACACCACAGTCATTCTAGCCAAACACTTTGATATCGACTTCCCTAAACTTCTAAACGAATTCTTTTCAGCCAATGGCTTACTCCTCTTCCCTTCCCTTCCCTTCCCTTCCCTTCTAACTTCACCTTACCTCCTCCACGCCAAGACAGCAACTTAGATGTCTCTCCCAACCTCCTCGAACCCACCACTCAACCTTAACCGCACCCTCCCTGAACAACCCTCCTCCATCTTTATCTGCAACACCAACTCCTGATGAACCTACCTTACCTTCCCCTTCCAACACACCTGCTAACACCGAACCTTCTACATCTGCCACACCCTCTCCAGCCTTCACTGCTCCCTCTGTCCCCTCCTCTTCCACCTTCACTGTACCATCTAATCTCAAGTACACCATGGACTCCAATCAACCTGTCACTGCTCACACCTCCCGATATCCTACCAGAAGTAAATGCTGCTTCAGAGAACACTCACACACTGACACCAGAATAGAGCGAAACAACACTGAAAATCTATTAAACCACAAAAACACTCATGCTCTCATTCATCAGACACACACGACAGGCTCAGTTCAGTTGAAGATTGTTGCATCAAAGAGACATCTGCAGACGGCACAACCAGGATGGGACCAAAACCTGAACTAGCCAGACCTCTGTACCCTGTCCCCACAAACAACACCGACCATGGCTCTTAAGGTCACACAGTTTAATATAAGCAGCTACAATGAACAAGCACCTCCTGGCTGAATTCGTTGAGGCTGAACCCCCTGATGTGCTGCTTTTAAATAGTACTTGTGTGCAAAACACCCAGTGAATCAGACACTGGGGTTACACTACACGCCAGTCTAGTGCTGATCCCTATAATGGTACTGCGATTATGGTGAACAGCACTATTCGACACGACTTCCTAAACCTCCCCTTCACCTGTCCTCACAGCCTGGCTGTTAAAGTCTTCACGGTCTCATTATTATCTACACTACTTATGTTCGACCTAACTCCAACATTAACATTCCTGACTTAACCCTCCTCTTTAATAATCAAACATTCCTGTCTATCTCCTTGCTGACCTAACCACAAAACATACAGACTTCCATGACACATACACTAACACTCATGGTAACCAATTGAAACACTTAATCACACAAAAACACCGTATGCACCTCGGCCCTCACTTCAACACTTTCTTTGTCCCTTTGGGCCAAGGAAAACCAGATATAATTGTTACAAATAGCGCCAGCCTCCACCTTCATCACCACATTACACCAGGCCTCCTCTCCGGCTCAGACCACATACCCATCACATCTCTTCAAACCCTATTCTCATTCCCTCCAGACATTCCTTTCTTCTCTAGGGCAAACTAGGACTCTCTTAAAAAGCACTTAAACAACACTAACCTCTCACATAACTTCGATAACAGACCTACATCAGACATCGACACACAGATTGCTCTCACACAAGACTGCAACACAAGCTGCTGAAAATGCAATTCCTAAAAAATAATACACTGTCAAATACTCCCTCCATCCTTCTGAAAGGACAAAACGCCTTCTCCTCTACTACCATCACTACTTTGCCACCAACCACCACAGATTTGCACATGTCAGTAGAGACCTCACATTCCTGAGAAACATCATCATCCGTAGTCTGCATTCAGGCTGCTTACTCTCACCGCATGCGGGACCCTAGGGAATTCTGGGCTTTCATCCAGGTTACTGGAGTCCCAAAAACAACACACTTCCAACTCATAACACACAACAACACGAACATCACAGACCCAACACAAGCAGCACATGCTTTCAAAGACATATGGGAAAATATTTTCCACCATCACCCTCCTGACCCAGCTGCACAACATCACACACAAGATGTAGAACACTGGGTATCCACACATAGACACATCATCTGTCCTGACTCTATCATACAACTGTCCTCCCTTACCTCCACCCACATTCTCAACACTCCTCAAGTCTACTAGAAACCCTTGGAAAGACTTTCGAACAACTCATTAACCAAAGACTAAGGACTCGCTTAGAGATTAACCACCTCCTGATTGATCGACAGTTCGGCTTCCACCAACACTGCTCAACACAAGCAGCACTTAATATCATTCTGAACTATATTCTAATCAATAAGGCCCAAGGATGTACAATGGCCCTGGTTGCTAAGGACGTGGAGAAAGCTTTCGATACAGTCTTTTCAACCTTTCCCTGAATGTCAAACAATTACTATGCAACTTCCTTGATGGCCGTACGATGTGATTAAGTTGAGAAACTGTCTCTCTGACTCCTTCACCTTTCATGCTGGAGTTCCCCAAGGCTCTGTGCTCTCTCCTACCCTGTACATCATTTACAAAATTTTTCGAAATATTTTTGGATTTGTGCGGGAGTAAGATAAGAGATAAATTTCGTTCGGATTTTTAACCCAGAGGATTAGGCAAATTGGATAACCAAGAAATGTCAGTGCGTCATCGAGGACTGTTAACTTTTTCCATTGGGGTCCTTATATCTTGTCTCCCCAGGATGCGACCCACCAGTCGACTAACCCAGGTACCTATTGCTGCTAGTGTGAACGGACAACGGTGTAAGAAAAGTGTCGAAATCTTCCACTCGCCGGAATCGATCCGGGCCCACCGTGTGTGAAGCGGGAGCTTTAGCCACCAGGCAACGGGCCTGTATTTCGGTTCACTAGAATATTGGATTAGCATTGTTTTCTCAGTCAAGTCCCCAAACAAACGTTTCGTAGTGCCATTTTAGGCACCATTGTTCCAATTTTTCAGTCATCTTTTTATTTCAGTGTTTTTTGGGCTGTCTTATTGAAAACTTAACTTAAAAATTAAAGATTTGGATGAGAAAAAAAATAGCTGGAACCCCACCCCTTAGTAAGTTGAAACAGTGAAGAAGAAAGAGATATTTGAAACAATGGTGTTTCAAATCGATCATGTCATTAATAGTTAGGTAGAGTTACTGTGAAAAAAAATATTTAACATTTTCAGGTTATTGTTCATTAATAACTATTATCATTAAAGTGTGATCAGTCTGAGAAATAATTATTACTTTAAGTGAACAATATAATCTATTTTTATATAACGATAGACATTACGTCAATAATTGATGAATGGCAACATGTATGGAAACGTTTTCCTGTGTTTACCATGGAATAGCGGGATGACGTATTTGTTGTCCTAACCTATTCATTAAATCTGTTATAATTTTATTTAACCTTGAGCTCCCACTGTTCTTAAAATTTATAGTGGATATGTTCATCCTGTTTTAATTTTAGTTTCCTGTCGGTAAACGAATAGTTAATGGTTGAGGTAGTATAAATGGCTTGTTGAATAAGGGGCGGGCATCGTTACCTCTGCCCTCATCCCCTTCTCTCCACCCTGTGGGAGTTAATTAACAAGGGACCCTCCTAGAGAGTTTGATATCATTTGACTTTATGCTCCCACCAAGTCAGAATGGAATTTCGCTCCTGTGTGTCTCCACTCAGCGAACAGCTGTTTTATGTAATGTATTTCTTGTCATGATGTGTCAGCGTGCCCTTAGACCCTATTGACTCATTGCCCACCAGAATTATGTTGAGTGGCCAGTGGTCTTGGATTGATACTCTCATCATGGCCCTTGATGAGTGAATAAGACCCTGCGGTCTTGATGACCCATATGGCCCAGCTCAGAAGACATGCTGAAGTGTTCCTGCTGAATTTGCAGATTCGTAAGATATTATCATTTCATATACATCATACATATATAAATTTCACTGGCAGTGGATTTGCAAGCTTCAGTATATAAATTAAGTTGCCTTAATAAGATCGATATATCATTGAGACTGTCTCGTCTTGTAATTAGTGACTATAATGAGCACTCTTTAGTAAGTAAGTAAGAATAACTTATGCATAAACAATAAGACTTGGGACCACAAATAAGTCTGACTTTGTGAGATCTTGATACCCGTTTTCTATGACTAACGGGTTCTACACTATATCTTAAAGACCTTGTGGTCTTTATCCTGTTTGGGAAGGACCAAATGTGGAATTTCACTAGATAAAATGCATTAAAGACCATAGATGACTATGAAAAGACACTTATTGGCTTATAACTCCAGCAGCCACAGTTTTGGGTGTCTCCGGTGTTGATCCTCTGGGTTCTCACTGGGCTGAAATAAGGCGATTATAACTAGGGTTAATACTAGCCCTGAAGACCTATATTATACGCTTATTGCAGGTATTGCACCTGGAAATAGTGGACGAGTCTTGCCTGTGTTTGGGCAATCACCCATATGCCATGGCGTCTACTGGTTATCAAACCTCACATAAGTACCTACCTGCTGCAGTGAACAGTCTAATATGAGTTTGGGTGTGTGTATTGTACCCAAAAAAGACAGCCATATCGATGGCTTGATTGAAGGCAGGATGAATCAACTCTTTTTCTGAATGATGTTGAATCGTTTAGTGTTATGGGAATGCTCGTTGGACACTAGTATTCTTGTTCACTAAGTATATCAACATGCTGGGTTATGTTACAAAGTTTTTCAAGTCACATGAATTTCCATCACATGTTCACGAGATTCGCTCGTCGACGGTAATTTGTCACTGTTTAATGTTTAATGTCTAGCATAGATGACTTTTGTAGTTTGAACACTGCATCCCTGCTCCTGCTCACCCTGAAGATCATTCGAGCATGAATAAGTACCACGGAGATACAAGACTTGGCCCCATATTCATGATTCTATGCGTGTGATCTGTGTAACACTACCACAAGACTTTGCTCACTCAGTTGATCTTGCAAGAGTCTTGCTGGCTAGACTGCTCTTAACATGGCGAGTGTCCCTTATATGGGCGAAATAATGCTGACAAATTGTCAAATCCTTTTCAAGAAGGGCTCCTTGGTGCGGTGAAGAGCCTGAAGAACCATGTTGTAAATCTTGCAAACAAGGCAGCCAGGAAGCTTACAGCACTTCGCCGTATCTCGCATCAGCTTGAGAGTAGGGGTTGCAAGATTCTGTACGAGGCATAAGTACGCTCACACTTTGAGTATTCTCCACTTTCTTGGTTTGCCTGCCCCCCCCCCCTCTCATCTGCGACTGCTTGACAGAGTAGAGAACAGAGCAAGATGTCTCATCTTTCGCCTGGACCCATCCTGGATAGATCTGTCATTTCAGCAGAGCCTTCAACATAGGAGGGATGTGGGTGGCCTTACTGTTATGTACAAGGCCAATATTGTCAAAGTACCACATTTGGATCCACTTCGAGGACAGCGTGAAACAAGCTTTTATGCCACAAGACGGGCAGAAAGCAGCAACTTCATTTCTGGCTGTACCCTTCTCCAGAACATCACTCCATCTGAGATCCTATATACCCAGGATGACTCGAGTATGGAACACATTCGTACAGTATAATGATGTCAGTGAGATAAAGTCAGTTGATCAAATGAAAATGCTGGCCCACAGATGGCTCCAACTTCATCCTGTTCCTTACTTGTATGTCTCATAACAAAAATGCTTTCAAATGAGCTGATGTAGGTAACAGCTCTTAGCTTGCCAATAAAGTTAGGAATCCTTAACCTGTAAATAGCTTGTCAATAAAGCTAGGGATCCTTAACCTTGTCAAACCCTGTGTAAAAAAAAAAAAACAGGCGAAATATACACAAACACTGATCCCTGGCCGCATGCAGGGGATGTGATGAAAAGCTGTAAGTCTTCTCCCTGAAAGCTGGCTGCCTTGGATTAACGTCTAGCGCAAGCTGGGCGCCAAGGTATTGGTCCAGTGTGGTGAGAATGGTAAAGCACTGCGTACCTTGTTCCAAGGTTCGTAGGTTTGAGTCTCCTTCAGCCAGAGATCAGTGTTTGTGTATATTTCCCCTGCTCTTGCGAATTCCTTGCATATATATATATATAATATATATTTTAATTTTTATATATATATATATATATATATATTAAAATATATATATTAGGAAGGGTTGGAGGAGGGGGTAAAGGAGGTTTTGTTTTGCGAGGGGCTTGGACTTCCAGCAGGCATGCGTGAGCGTGTTTGATGGGGAGTGAAGGGAGACAAATGGTTTTTAATACTTGACGTGCTGTTGGAGTGTGAGCAAAGAAAACATTTATGAAGGGATTCAGGGAACCGGCAGGCCGGACTTGAGTTCTGGAGATGGGAAGTACAGTGCCTGCACTCTGAAGGAGGGGTGTTAATTTTGCAGTTTAAAAACTGTAGTGTAAAGCACCCTTCTGGCAAGACAGTGATGGAGTGAATGATGGGGAAAGTTTTTCTTTTTCGGGCCACCTGCCTTGGGGGGAAATCGGCCGGTGTGATAATAAAAATAATAAAATTATATATATATTAATATATATATATATATATATATATATATATATAAAATATTATATTATATAAATTTTAATTTTAATTTTAAACTACAGAGAAGCTGCAGGGACTCGTTGAAGATGTTGCTGATTATAGCAGTGGTTCTTCTCTTCTACTTCCTCTACATAAACTCTTGCAAGCCACGAGGTTATCCACCAGGTTAGTTACTTTGCTTATTGACTACCAGGTGGGTCTCTATTCTTACTGACACTTGCTTAACCCCATGAATGTCTCAAATTAGTGACATTTACTTCCACAGCTGAATACTTCAGGTTAGTAATACCTGCTCTCCCATTTAAGCACCTCTAGTTAATGATACCTACTTCCCTAGGTGAGTAAGTTGCGGTAGTGTCACCAAATTTTCTGGGTAACTTGGTTGTAAGTTGTGTGTCAAATAATTCCAACATGATTTTATTTCCTCTATGACTACCTGGAGGGTATTCTGGGGATCAACGCCCCCGCGGCCCAGTCCATGATCAGGCCTCCATGTGGATCAGGGCCTGATCAACGACGCTGTTACTGCTGGCCGCACGTAGTCCAACGTACGAACCATAGCCCGGCTGATCTGGCACTGACTTTAGGAATCTGTCCAGCTCTCTCTTGAAGATAACCAGGGGTCTATTGGTAATTCCCCTTATGGCTGATGGGAGGCTGTTGAACAGTCTTGGGGCCCGGATACTAATTGTGTTTTCTCTTAGTGTACCAATGACTCCCCTACTTTTCACTGGGGGTATGTTGCATCGCCTGGCAAGTCTTTTGCTTTCGTAGGGAGTAATTTCTGTGTGCAGATTAGGGACCAGTCCCTGTAGTATAAGTCAAGTGTTTCCAGGCGTTCCCAGCAGCTAAGGTGTTTCATTGAACTTACGTATATGTGCAGTAAAGGTTCTCTGTACATTCTCTAAATTTGCACTTTCACCTACCTTGAATGGAGATATTAATGAACAGCAGTATTTCAGCCTATGGAGAACAAGTGATTTAAAAAGTATCATTATTGGCTTGGCATCTCTTGTCTTGAATGTTCTCATTATCCATTATATCAGTTTCCTCGCAGATGTGATAGTGGCATTGTTGTGGTCCTTGAAGGTGAGATCTTCGGATATTACCACTCCCAAGTTCTTCACATTACTTCTCTGCTCTATTGTGTGGTTAGAGTTTGTAGTATACTCAGTCATAGCTATTATTTTCTCCAGTTTCCCATAACGTTGTAGTTGGAATTTGTCTTCATTGAACTTCAAATTGTTCTCCGTTGCCCACTGGAAAACTTGGTTTATATCTTCTTGGAGATTTGCCGTGTTCTCAGTGGATGACACTCTCATGCAGATCCTAGTAATGTCTGCAAAGGATGATACGGTGCTATGGTTTACATCTTTGTCTATGTCTGATATGAGGATGAGGAACAGGATAAGGGCGAATACTGTGCCTTGTGGAACAGAGCTCTTCACTATGGCAACTTTCTATTTAACTCTGTTTAGCACTACTCTTTGTATTCAGTTGGTCAGAAAGTTGAAGATCCTTCTGCCCACTTTGCCAGTTAACCCTTTAGCACGCATTTTGTGTGCTATTATGCCATGATTGCACTTGCCAAAGGCTTTTGCAAAATCTGTGTATACTACATCTGCATTCTGTTTGTTTTCCAGTGCATCCAAGACCATAGTGGTCCAGTAGTTGTGAAAGGCAGGAGGGACCTGCTCTGAACCCATGTTTGGGTGTCCAAGTGGTTTGCAATCCTGTTTCTTAGAACTCTTTCAAAGATTTTTATGATGTGATACGTTAAAGCTATTGGTCTATAGTTTTTAGTTATTGCTTTGCTGCCACCTTTATGGAGTGGGGCTATATCCGTTGTTTGCAGTGACTGTGGAATCTCACTTGTATCTATGCTCCTTCTCCACAGCATACTTAGGGCCCACTGCGACTAGCCAAGGATTCGAACCCATGATATTTTTGCCCCCCTTCACGGTTTGGTGGACCTGTGGGTTAGAGTGTCATGTGATTTTCGCTCACCATGGGGCGGGCCAAAACATCATGGGTTCGTGAGAGGGGTTGCTAGCAGTTCTTACTGAACAAAGGGTTCCACGAGTCTGGGCCTGGCGTTGGGTGCATGGGGAAGTTGTCGATGGCTTTCTCGAAGTCTAGTGGAGTTAGGGTTATGTCAGAAATTTGATATGCATTGACAGGGTTTTGAGGCTCATTCATGAAAAAATTGTTTGGATTGTCTATCTTTAGACTGATTAGTGGCTCACTAAACGCAGAGTCTTACTGAGATTTCAGTATTTCACTCATTAGATTGTTGTCATGTGTAGGATCCGTCTCGTTTGAATATCAAAATGGTATACAATACCGACAAGTTGGTAAGTTAGACGCATAGGCAACATTTAGGCAACTTTATTTCGAAAGGTTTCTCCTACACAGTAGGATTCTTCGGTCGAGTACAGAAAATAGGCAGGAACAGTAGCGATGTGAAGACGATGTAATCAGTCCATCACCCTTGAAGATGTAGATTTGAGGTTGTCAGTCCCTCAGTCTGGAGAAGAATTTCCTTTCATGGTCTCAAACAGTGAGTCATAGTCTGTTTCAGACTATGACTCGGATTTCTTTTCCAGGCTGAGGACTGACAACCTCAAATCTACATCATCAAGGGTGATAGACTGATTGCCTCGTCTTCACACCTCTACTGCTCCTGCCTACTTTCTGTACTCGACTGAAGAAGCCTACTGTGTAGGAGAAACGTTTCGGCATAAAGATACCTAAATGCTGCCTGTGTCTAACTTACCGTCTTGTCTGAGCAGGGGCCCTTATACTAGAAGTGGTTTTTGCCTTTTTTTTGGTAAATGTAAAGAAATATTTAGAATTTCTTTCAATTTCGCTAATTGCTTTTAGCTCCTCTTGTCTCTCCTGGATCCTGTATGGGTCCAGGAGAGACCTATATAGGTTAAAGGATATTAAAAGTAGAAATCTGGATCATAGAAATATTATTGGAATGGTATAGAAGAATCCCAAGTAAGGCATAAAAATCGATATTGAGAAGAATAGTAGACAATATAAAGGATACGTCTCAGTGCCCCTGAGAACATTCGGAGACAGGACATTTAAACGGACAAACAGCACATTCATTTCCTTTCTTTTATTAATTAAATATGTTACACAGAATAATACCAATCCATATATATAATATCCCCTGAGAAACGTATTTTCTCAAGTCACAGGACCTGTTCTAAACGGTTAGAAAAGGCTACGGCGAACTATTATACCTTCTAATTTCATATTTCTTTACTTCTCAACGTCCTCTTACCCCACATACACATGGGGGGGGGGATGGTGGAAGTGGTGGGTGTGGCACTGACCGCTGGCACACTCTAAGAGAGGCAGGAGGAGGTGACAGGCTCACTCTGCGCTATTCTGAGAAAAAACTTCCCCTCACTCCTTCAGTTGCAACATTGCATAGCTCCTGATGATGCACTGAGAAGCGCGAAAGTACTTGAGCTAAAGATTTCCACCCCCTCCCTGTGGTTTGTCTTGCATAGTTAACATTGCCTGTCTGCGATTGTTTGTGTGTGTGGGAAAATTTTATGTATATATATATATATATATATATATATAAAATATATTATATATATATATTATATATATATATATATATATAATATATATTTATATATTATATTTTATTATAATAAACATATTTCTTTTTATTAGGTCCAGTGCGGCTTCCTTTGGTTGGATTTCTACCATATATAAAAAAAGAATGCTTCCACAAGCAAGCGACACAACTTTCCTCCACCTATGGCAACGTTATTGGACTGTACTTTGGCACCAAAGCAAACGTTGTGGTCAACGGCTGGGACGCCGTCAAGGATTCACTTCTCAATGACCAACTTAATGGACGACCTGAAAATTTAATTTATAATATAATTTTTGATGGTAAACAGAGAGGTGAGCTGATGACGGAACATGTAGTTGTTTTTACTGACCCACACGAGTCCCTTGCTCGTCTTGTCACTGAAATGCTTATTGTCCCCTGGTAGGAAACAGTGTGTGATTCTGTTTGGTTTCTTATTTTTACATCGGTCTGGTTTGCTATTCAACAACGGCTCTCATTACCAGCCGGGTTGCAAAATCTGATGTTGGTGGAGCTATCATCACTTCCGGCTTTCAAATTCCCAAAAACACACATACACACACACACACACACACACACACACACACACACACACACACACACACACACACATACACACACATACACACACATACACACCATACACACACACACAACATATATATATTATATATATATATATATATATATATATATATATTATAAAAATATATGGAACCTCTGGTCATGAACGCTTCTGAACACAAATCGGTTCACGACCAAAAAATTCGCTATATTTTTGCATCTGGTCACGAACCATAATCGGGTGCCGAACAAACAGTTTGATCCACCCGCTAAACGCGAGAAAACACCTGAAGGAGAACGATCCTCCATCACAGAGGGGGGATCTCCCTAAAAATAGTACCCTTTCCCCACTTCCTCCTAACTTCCTTCACTCCGGGAATTTCCAATCATGCAAGGTTGGGTTTTCCCGGGTTGTTTACGGTATGGTTATTTTTTTGTTATTTAAGTTTTTTCTCTTTTAAAAAACTGTACATTTTGTTTTAAATTAAGGTTTTACAAACTGAGGGTGGGCCCCCCAGGGGCCTTTTTTTGGCACAGTTTCTTCCCTTCACACGCGGGGTCCGGGTTTTTCGATTCTCGGGGTGTGGAAAATAACTTTTTCGAAGCTTTTCCCTTTAAAACTTGTTGTCCTTTTCCCCAAAACGCAAATAGGTACCTGGGTGTTGGGGACTGGTTTTTGGGTCCCCATCCTGGGGGAAAGTTTTTGAAAAAACCCAAATTGGGAAAAATAAAAAACAGTCCTGAGGGCCCACACTGCCTGGGGGGTAACCCCCCGGGCTTAAAAATTTCCGACCGAAAAATCAATCTTTATTACTTTTTCTGTGAAGGGGAACGGTTTAGGGTTTTTAAAAGGACTAGTGCAATGTTGGGTTTTTCTGTCCAAGGTTTTTCTCGGGGGGTTTTAATTCAAAGTTTTTACTTTTTGTTTACTTTTCCACTGTGTATTTCTATGGTAAAATTTAAATATTTTTTTTTTTAAAAAATCTTGAAATTTAAAATTTTTTTACTTTTTGTAGGGGTCTGGAACGGATTAATCGTATTTACATACAATCAGTAAAAAATTAAGTTCGGATCAAAAACCAGTTCGGGTCACAATCGGGGGGTTTTTTTTTGGAAAGGGGTTGGGGGGACCGGGGGGCCCTGGGGTGTAATTTTTTATTTTTTTTTTTTTTATAAATTTTTAATAAAATATATATTTATATATATATATTAAAATATTATATTTTATATATTTTTTTATATATTATATATATTTTAATATATTTATTTATATTATATATATATATTTTAAAATTATTTTTCCTTATATTTTTTAAAATTTTATATAATTATTTATAAAATATATATATATTTTTAATTATATAAAATATATATTATATTTATTTAAAATTATATTTTATATTAATATTTTGTTATATTTTAATGATTTTAAAGGGAATGAAAAGAATTTGGATGTCCTGGCCCAAGCGAAACAAAGCTGAAGGGGGTAGGATTTTTTCATTTGGGGGGAAATAAATGGGATTAAATCTGGAGTTTTCTGAGAGGGTTAGGAAAAAGGGAAAGGGGGTTTAGCAGTAAGGGTTAAATGATCAGTTATGGAAGGGAAAAGAAATATGAATGTGTAAATTCAAAAAATTATGTGGATTAAAGTAAAGGTTGGATGCGAAAAAGGGGGGTAAAATTAAGCGGGGTATGACCAACCCCGGGAAAGGAAGGAGGAATGCAGAGGAGGAGAGAGATTTTGGGGATTTTTAAGTGAATGTATGGAGCCCTTTGAACCAAGTGGAGAGAAAATTGTGGTAGGGGACTTAAATGTAAGTAGGAGAAAATTTTTTAGAGGGGGGTTGTGGTAGGTAAGTTTGGGGTGCCGGGGTTGAAAATATAAGGGGGACCCTTTTGGTTTTGAACTTTTTTTTGAAAGGGGTTTGTTTTGGGGAAATAAAATTTTTAAAAGGAAAAAGGGGGAATAAAAAATTTTACCGATTTGATGTGGGGGCGAAATGACAGTAGTTTTTTGGGATTAGGGTTTGGGGTAGTTTTAAGAAAAACTTTTGATTTGATTCGGATGTACATTTTTATAGAGGGGCCACCGGAATATACCCAGATCACTTTTTTGTTTTTGTAAAACTGAGGGGAAAAAAGGTAGAGGGGGGTTTCAAGGAAAATAGAAGCACCCGGGGAAAGAGAGGGTGAAGGTTTTTAAACAAAAAGAGGAGGCAGTTAGGGTAAAAAAATTAAAAACAGTTTTGGGGGGATAGAGGGGGGCTAATGAGAGCATAGGAAATGGGGCCCGAAGGGGGTATGGGGTGGGTTTAAAAAAAATTGTGTTTTAAAGAGTGTTCAGCAGAAGTTTGTGGTTACGGGGAAGGGGGTTTGCAGGGGGAAAAGGGGAAGCGATTGGGGGGAATGATGATTTTTTAAAGAGGGGGTAGTAAGGGAGAAAAAGTTAGCATATGGAAGTTTTTAAAAAGTTGGAAGTGTTTGAAAGGGGGGGGAAGGGGTATATGGAAAAAAAAGGGGAAAAAAAAGAAGTTTAAAAAGGAGTGGTAAAGCAATGAAAAAAGAGAAAAAAGGAGGAGGGGTTTTTAAGATGTTATCAACAAATTTTGTTGAAAATAAAAAAAAAGTTTTGGAGTGAGATTAACAATTTAAAGAAACCCTAGAGAAAAAAATGGTTTTGGGTCAGTTAAAAATAGGAGGGGAAAATTTTTTTAAATGGAGATTTTAGGGGTTTTGGGGGGAAGAGGGAAAGGGGAAATATTTTGGGGAAAAAATTTTTTAAATGTTGATGAAGTAGGGGGAAGCTGGGGATTTTCTTTATAGGGAAAGGGGGAAGGAAAAAAACCCACTTGTAGGGTGGGGAAAGGGAGCCAGTTTTGAGTTTTGGGGGAAAGTTCGTGGGCGTAGGTAAAATAAAAAGGGGAAAGGGCAGCCGGGGGATTTGATGGGGTTTTAAAGTTTAGATATTTTAAAAAGCAGGTGGGGTTTAAGTTTTGGAGTGGTTGGTGGCAATTTTTTAAATTTAAATGTAGGGAAAAGAGGGAAAGGGTACTGGGGGTTGGCAGGAGCATGCATAGTTCCTTTTAAAAAGGAAAAAAGGGGAAAAAAGAGAGTGAAAAAATTAAAGGGGGAAAAAAGTCTGTTGAGTGTTAACCGGGTTTAAAGTTTTATGGTAAAATTTTATAATTGAAAGTTTTAAAGGTAAGAACCAAAGAAAAAGGTTTGCAATTGAACAAAGGGGGTTTTGGGGAAAGGTTGGGGGGTTTTTGTGTGGCCCCAGGTTTTTACTGTAAAAACATATAATGTGAACAGTATTTAGGAATAAGGTTAAAGAGGTCTTTGTGGCATTTATGGTTTGGGGAAAAGGGCGTATAAACGGGGTTGGAAATTAGGGGGCCCAAAAATGGAGATGTTAAAAAGTGTTAGGGTTTTTAGGGGGGTAGGTTACTGAAAGCGTGAAGGTTTTAGAGGTTTGGTGAGGCTCAATTTAGAGTATGTAGGAAAGGGGGGAAATTTTTTTCCCCAGTAAAATTTGGGCCCTTAGACAAGGTGTGTGTTTTGCCCGTGGTTTTTTTAATAAAATTTATAGAGGGGGTTTGGGGTAAGGGAAGAAAATTTCGAGGGTTTTTGGAAAAGGCGTGGAGTTAAAAGAAAAAGAATCACAAAACCAAAGTGGGATTTGTCACAGCTGTCTTTGCTGAGGGACCTGTGCTTTGGGGAGATTCTAAAGAGAATTTTTGCAGAGATTGGGGAAATGAATTTGGAGGGTGTGAAAAAGAAAAAAAATTAAAAGGGTTTAAATACGGGAAAAGAGAAAGGTTAGGGGAAGGAAACAAAAAGATTAGGTGATGAAAGATTGAATTTCAGATTGGAGGGAAAAGGTATGGAGGAGGTAAAAACTTTTATTCAGACATTTGGGAGTGGATTTTGTCGCGGATGGGTTATGAAAGATGAGGTAAATTCATAAAATTGATGAGGGGGGGGGAAAAAAGAGTGGGGGGGGTGCACTTAGGAGTTTTGTGGAAAACAAAAATTTGCCCTTGGAGGCAAAGAGGGGAAGTTTGAGGGGGATAGTTTTTACCAACGCTTTTTTTGGGGTTTGTGAAGCGGGGGTTTTTGATGAATGTTTGCAGCGGGGAAAGAAGGCTGGAGGCATTTGGAGATGCCCATTTTCTGGGGGGCAATGTTTTGGTGTGAATAAAAAATGCAGGGGAAAAATTGTGGGTTTGGAAGTTAGGGGAGGTGGGGGATTCCCAAAAACTGTTGCCCAAGGGGTTTGAGGAAAGGGGTTGTTGAGGTGGTTGGACAGGGTAGAGGGGGAAGGGGAGCAAAAACAAAAATGACTTCAAGAGTGAAATTAAGTCTGTTGGAAGGAAAAGGCGGGGTAGGGGTCGGCCAGGAAGGGTTGGGGGGGAGGGGGTAAATGAGGTTTTGGTGCGAGGGGCTTGGATTCCGGCAGGCATGCGTGAGCGTGTTTAAAAGGGGTTTGAAGGGAGAAAAAAGGGTTTTTTAAATTATTTGACGTGCTGTTGGAGTGTGAGAAAGTAAAAACATTTATGAAGGGATTCAGGGAAACCGGCGGCCGGACTGAGTCCTGGAGTTTGGGAAGTCGTGCCTGCATCTGAAGGAGGGGTTTTTTGTTGCATTTTTAAAAACTGTGTGAAAAACACCCTTCTGGCAAAGACAGTGATGGAGGGGAATTTGAGGGTTTTAAAAATTTTTTTCTTTATCGGGCCCCCCTCCCTTTGGG